GTTGGAATGTTTAGCAACTTTTTAAAAAAACTCTAAAATTAAAAAATAAGGAGGTGTGGCCGAGTGGTTTAAGGCGGTAGTCTTGAAAACTACTAATATGCGAGTATTCAAGGGTTCGAATCCCTTCGCCTCCTCCATTTTGGACTAAAAAAATAAAGATTAGAGAATATTTTTAATTAGAGGAGATATGAAAATGTATTTAATTTTAGGAACCGTTGGCAGAAACCATCCCTAATCACATGAGTATCCTTGCTAAGAACTTTGATAAAATAATTGTATATGTCTTGAAAGTGAATTTTTATTACTTTAATTATAGCCATAGTTGCTGTTGTTATTACTTCTCTTTTTTCCTACTTTCTTTCAAAGTGATTAGCCAAATGAGCAAAAAACGTCAAAAGAATTGATGATCGCAGAGATTTGAATCCTAAACTAAAAGAAATAGTGAGAATAGTGCGGGAAATATCCCGCATTTATAAAATGAAAATGCCCGAAGTGGGTGTTTATCCCTCCCAAGAAATTAATGCGTTTGCTACTGGTTCGGCTGGCAATACTTTGATTGCTTTTTCTACTAATTTAATTAATACCATGAACCTCTCCGAAATTAGAGGGGTAGTCGGGCACGAATTATCTCACCTTATCCATTATGATATTGCTCGGATTTTAGTAGTGCAAGGAATATTTGATGTTCTTCATTTTGTACTTTGCGTTTTAATTGCTTCCTGACTATTTCGACCCAGTGAGGAGGAGAAAAAAACCGGCGAACTTAATATCGTCAAATTTATTTTGAAATGGATATTTTTTGAAATACTTTCTGCTATTATGCGGTTGGGTGGGATTTTGCTGGTTCTGTGATATAACCGCAAACGAGAATTAGCCGCCGACAAAAGAGGGGCTGAAATAGTAGGAATAGATGATATGCTAGCGGCTTTACGGAAACTTTTGGAATTAGAAAATAGGTCTTGAATAGTGGACGGAATTGACTTAACCGAGGATGAAAATACCAAGGCAACCGGTGAGCCAAATTCAGTGTCCTTATTGAAATTCAACCCGGAAAAGAAAAAAAGGGGGCTACTTGAGTTATTCCGAACGCACCCTCGCTTGGAAGAAAGAATTGAGAGATTGGAAAAATTAAAAAAACAGCGAAAACTACTTGGTATTATTTATATTGTAATGAAAATAATTTAAAAGAATTAAAGGTTAATCATTTAAGTAATTTATCTCAACTTTACTGCCA